ATCTATTTATCTATCTGCCTACAGGTTGATCTGCTTGTCTGTCTTCCTGCCTGCCCATCTAATATCTAGAAGAACATACACTAAGACATTATCTGTGATAGTTTTTCTGGGTGTTTTTGTTTATGTCCTTACACTTTTAAGTTTAACATTTTCTAAAGAAAGTAATCTTTATATAACTATATAAAAATAAAACTTTCCAACAGTGGATTGTAGAAGCCATTTGGACCTCAGGAAAGGACACCCATAGTACAGGGTATGCAGATATGTGCTGTCTTGACTATTTTCCCAAGGATTTCAGAAAATATCACGTGAACCAACTGAATATAACCTTTGGTCCAGTTTAGTTAAGGTCACGTTAGAGTAGAGAAGACAGACAGGCAAAAGTATAAAGTAGATTTTCCTAAGTCATTCACAAAATAAAAGCTAAGCAGAATAGGTATTTTTTTCACGTTTTGCCACTGAAATTTGAATTAGCACTTGCTTGTTTGGATTCAGCCCTCTCTGCCGACTGTGTAGGTAATCGCCTAACAAAGCATAAGAAAACACTTCGAAATCCCACACTCTCTGGCATGCGATATTCAATGCTTTTGTTGTCTTTTAAGAGAGCCAAACTTAAAATGTGCTGTGATCAGTTTAAAATAAGAAACAACATTATAAGTCATTCTTAGCCATTAACACTGTTGGGGCTCAGAATATGATACCCCAAAATATGACACTTTGGCATGCTGAGTACTTTGAACTGAAAAAGACTGCAAAGGTCTCAGAAACAAGATCTTTCTGACCTTCTCCTGACCCCTAGTATCCTGCCCCTATTAATCCCCTGAAGTGAGACATAGAAAGTAGAATTTTTCCTTCTCTGAGTGGAGCAGAGAAACTAGAACTCCTCTCCGCCAAAGCAAGCTACAGAATCTGAAAGATCATTGTCTTTTCCCTTGAAGACTCTTATTTCACAGGGAAAAGAAATAAGAAATACCCAGGAGGAAGGAATACTCCACAGTGAGGCTAAGAAGAATGCACAGACAGGCCTTGTTGGGCTTCCTGCCTCAGCCTATTACCACTGGATTCTAACATGTTGTCCAAAGATGTTTCTACATTGTGTTCATTCTTCACTGAATCTAAGCATCAAAATAGACAGTTTCCCCTACATCTTTGATCTTCATCTCTGAAGCCTCTCGAGTCATGTAAAACTTTGATTAAACAAATTTGCTATGATTTTCTCTAGCTAACCTGTCTTTTGTTATATGAGTGTCAGTTGTGATCGTTAGGATGGGTGAGGAAAGGTATCTTTCCCCAACACCTCTTTGAAAATTGGTTTATCCAATGAACCAGAATGTCACCTGACAAATACCAGAGATAATGATAAAAATGACGACAAGTATTGATGAGGAAGCCAGGAGGGAAAGTAGGGTGAAAGAAAAGCATGAAAACCTAGACACTGGCCGGGCACGGTCCCTCACGCCTGTAATCCCAGCACTTTGGGAAGCCGAGGCAGGTGGATCATGAGGTCAAGAGATCGAGGCCATCCTGGTCAACATGGTGAAACCCCATCTCTACTAAAAATACAAAAAGTTAGTTGGGCATGGTGGCGCGTGCCTGTAATCCCAGTTACTCAGGAGGCTGAGGCAGGAGAATTGCCTGAACCCAGGAGACGGAGGTTGCAGTGAGCGGAGATCGTGCCATTGCACTCCAGCCTGGGTAACAAGAGCAAAACTCTGTCTCAAAAAAAAAAAAAAGAAAAGAAAAGAAAGAAATCCTAGACACCAAAACGAAGGAGTTGTAGATGTGAGCTGAACCCGCTAAAATTACAATTTTAGTTTTTAGCTCCATGGCTTATATTTTAAGACTATAGCAGGGTGAACCAGAGCCAGAAGGCCAAACCTAACCCAGCATATATTTTTGCAAATAAAGGTTTACTGGAACACGTGAGGCCCATTCATTTACATATTGTGCGTGTGCTTGCTTGCTACTTTGTCAGAGTGCAGTGGTTTTGACCAAGACCCCATGGCCATAAAGCCAGAGCACTTGGCTCTTCACAGAAAAAGTTTGCTGATTCCTGTTCTTCAATAATGGCTGTGGGTGCATTTCCCTGAGGTTGGCCTTGGGAAGGAAGAAACTGCTGAATATACCACACACTGCAATTGAGGCGTAGCTTCTTAGCTCTTTTTGCTGTGTATGAAGTGACAGAAGCCAGGCTTCCACCAGGGTCTAATGAATCAGAGGGGATGTCCAATTGGCAGCAATTTCTCATTGCCTGGGGTCACCTCTGGATGTGGAATCAGAGACAAGTAGGTGGCTAACGAGAAAGGACATCCAGGAAAGAGAGGAGAGATGAGGCAAGACGAAACTTTACTCTTCCTAAGAGTTCTCCAGAGTCTTTCAACATTTTAGCTTCTAGAGGACAGAATTCTGCTTGCTAGTATTTAGTGAATTGAATTTTGTCCTTAGAGATGTGCACACTGCTCCCATGGACTTCAATGGGAGTAATGGGTCATTTGGTCCCGTGACATCTGTGCTGGCTTCGGGCTATTTAACAAACTCCTAAACAAATCCCAATAAAGTGCTCTTTAATGGGTACTTAACACTGGTGTAGGGCGCTAAGCACACCTAAATCCTTTCTTTTCCTTCAGGTTTACTAAGTTTCCTTCTTTTTATGGTGTGATAATTACTACAGGCAAGACCTCTGAGTCAAGCAGTGTTACACCCACTCAGAGTCACAAGGTTTCTGCTTTTATTGATCTCAGTTGACCTGTGTATTCTCTGGGTTCCAATTTAATAGCTCAATTGATTATTAATTTACATTTTTAACGTCTTTGTCGGTAAAATCATTTTAACATGAATCATCTCTCACTAAATGAGCAACATGAAATCATTTTGGATTTTCAATTTCAACAAGTATTTATTGAGTCACTGAGCACAGGTGAACTTGACAAAGATGAAAAGGACATTTCAGTTTCTTGTAGAAGATGATAGAAAGGATAGTTTGGTTTTTGCTTTGCAAAACGAATGTCACATATGTGTGGCTCACCTGAAGTCAGAGAGTGGTCAGAATATCAATTTTTCCTTCATTTACTTACTAATTATATTTTGTCTAAATACAATTTAAAACCTACAGTGCCTACATCTTTAGTTGAACTCTTTCTTAAATTAAGTCCAGGGCTTCAATATTATTCATTGATATGTTTTCCTTTAGGATGATCTGGCTTTGCTTTAGAAATGGTGACAGGTGATTATACTACACAGAACACAACATAATGAGATATAACCTGATTTTGAGCTCACAAAACTTTCTGTTTAACAAAAGTAGGCAACTTGCAAAATCTAACCACAATTATGTTTACAACATGATATTCTACTTCAAAGCCCTTTAAAATATCTGTGTGAATTTGATTAGATAATGATTTCTTCCTTCACAGCAAGCAGGTAAAGTTCTAAAAATATGGCTGCTTGTGGCTCATTCTTCTTGGTAGAACTGTTTTGAATACAATATTTATAAAGTATATAAACCAGTCACTTAGAATCTTCACTTCTTTCTAAAATGAGATGAGCCACAGAAAATACATAAGTGCATATTTCCAACCACACTCATGACTTTTATCTGACAATATAAAGGAACCAGAGTTTAACACCAAATAAAAGAGGCACATGCTCATCCTTTGAGGAATAGTAAGTGCTAGTGCTTGGTGAAAGGGGCAGTGAGAAACAAAACCGTATTTGACAGTGCTTGACCTTACTAATTTTCACTTGTAACTTTCGTAGTTTTATTACCAAATGTGGAGACCAAAGAAGGCAACTAATTTCGGCTCTTGGAGAAAAGAAATTTAGACAATCAATGGTATTATTCTATCCATGTGGAATTACTAACCTCTTTCCTCTATGTCAGTCTGTGACAGGTGGCAGATTATAAACATAAGTAACATAAAATTCTGATGTTTGGAAATTTCCATTCTTACAGACATGTAAACAGATACTTGAAATATAACTTGGGATACAATATTTTTGCTTCCAAAGTGCTAGTGAACCCTCTGGTTGTCTCAGAGAGCTTTAAAGAAGAGGGAAATTTGCATGCGGTCATGGAGAATGAGGGAGTTCAACACTGTGAAGGCCGTGAAGAGGATCATCCAAAGTGAGGTGCCAGCCTCAGAAAACAGGAGTCAGGAGAACGTGGGGATGTTGAAAAATGGATAGACTCTTCATCATAGCTCATGTGAGAGTATAGGCAGTGAGGGAAGCTGGGGCCTGGGTTAATGAAAATGAAAATGGCTGGATGATGAAGAGTTTTGAATGAGAAGAAATTCAACTTTATTATGTGGACAGTGGAGGGTTACTGCCCAACTTTAAATAAAAAGGGGCCTGAACGTCAAAAAATTCTGGACTATAAGCAGAAAGCAGAGGGAAGGGCCAGTACAAGAAACTTCAAATTGGGGCAGCTCAGAGAAAGTGGCTGATGAGGACTGGACTCCAAGCAGCCATATTTTCATCCAGCACCCTAAATAAGCATGCGGAGCAATGCAAGCTTTATTAAGCACTCATCACTGGGGGTTCATAGTCCCTTTCCCATGAAAACAACCTCTAAATGAATTTCTCTTTGTTAACCTACGTTGGAAACGTTTCCAAACATTTACATGGCTACTTATCAGGTAGGAATCATATTCCATGGTCATTTTCAATTGTGGTCAGAGTCTTATGAGAGCTGGAAAAATGAAAATACATGTTTAATATTGTGATTGGATTATAATATATGTTGATAAGGTGATATTTCTTTTTTTAAAAGGGTTCCCCTAGATTTGATGATAAAAGGATCATTAGAAAGGATCGGTAAACAAAAAGAAATGTGAATTACATACACATGCATTGTTAAATTACTTTAGAATATTCAGTTAGCTTTACATAGGAGAGCGTGTTTATGTGCTCCACCTGATGAGTTTAATGCCTATTTGATACTTTCGTTCTCTTTGTTCAGAGCAGACACTGCCAGGTGAGGTCTTGTGTGAGTCCCATACCTGTGCTGTCTTCATACACCACAGTCACTGTTTTCCAGTTGTAGTAGAGGACCAGATCCAGGATCGCCCTGCTGATAGCTGCATAATCTGGGTAAAGGTTGATGTAAAACAAATCTTTGTTGTCCACTGAGGGGTGTTTCCAGCGGGTCTGTATGTGCGGAACTTCGAGAGCATTGCAAATAGACTGCACGGCACTGACGGAGGAGCTATGGGAAGGGCCAAAGAGCGCAGCCACGCCAAGAGCCAGCTGGTCACATGCTGATGCCCAAGGACAAGGGGAGGATGGGGAGGGAGGGCAAGGAGAGGGGGAGAGAAAAAGAGAGTTCTGTGAATTTAATTGTTCTCTTTCATGATTCCTCTTTTCAATGAAACTATTGAAAAATCTTTTACAATCCCTGTCTGTAGATTGAGGAAATATGCTTTGTCCAACTTCCAACTTCCTTGAGCTACTGACAGATGTAAACTTAGAACTGATTAGCAATATACACAAGGCCAATTCCCTGCTGGCTTCGCTTTATTATCTCTAATCAGAAGGAGTCTAAATCCCTTGCTTGGTGTGGTGCTACCGGAAAGCACTCCTACTTACCAACAAGCCCGTTGCCAAGTGAATGCTGTATGAATTAAGTTCCGTCATGCAGCAGGGTGGCAATTAAAATATTAATGTGGTTACAAAATTCAGAAGAAAGAGCCTCTGGGTAACTACACAGTGCTTTAGCTCCTATCATTCCAAAATTCACAAAGAAGTTCCAGGTTAATGAAATATTGCTAAAGAATGTTCATAAGCAGTGCTGATGTCTGATTAATTTTAAAATAATGAAATAGCATAGCTTAAAAAGATCTTAGAAAACATTTGGTTCAACTCTCTCATTTCATAGGCAATGGAGAGAGTCGTGGCCACTGGACAGGAGCTTTGGCTCAAGGTCAGCCTCTTTCTACCCCAGTGTCAGAAATCAAGTCAATATCTATTGAAATGTATTTATAACATAAATGTATTTTTCTCATTATGTTATTATAATCACTCACTGAGAGAATTTAGAATATTTAAAATGTAAGGACAAAAAGACCCTGTGATTAATCCTATCATTTTGGAATAATATGTATTAATATTTGGGAAAATTAGAATCATCATATAAATAGAGTTTGATACATTGCTTTCTTTAATGCTATAGCATGTCTTTTTTTCAGTCATTACAAATTCTTTAAAGTATGTTTTTAGTGTCTGTAGAATAGACCGTTCCATGGGTATGTCATCATTTATTTAAGCATTTCTACAATATTAAACATTTGGCTCATGCCTGTAATCCCAGCACTTCGGGAGGCTGAGATGGGCAGATCACTTGTGGTCAAGAGTTCGAGACCTGCCTGGCCATCATGGTGAAACCCCATCTCTACTAAAAATACAAAAATTAGCCAGGTGCAGTGGTGCGCACCTGTAGTCCCAATTATTTGGGGGGCTGAGACACAAGAATCGCTTGAACCCAGCAGGCAGAGGTTGCAGTGAACAGAGATAGTGCCACCGCACTCCAACGGGGGTGACAGAGTGAAACTCTGTTTCAAAAAACAAACAAACCCCCCAAAAACATTTAAGCTGCTCCTAATTTTTGGCTATCATAAGTAATATTGTAATACCTTAGTTCTTATGTTTTTCTCTGCATCTTATGCTACTTTCTAAGAGAAGATTTCCAGAAGTTAAATTACCAGCTATAATTAAGTGGTACAGATAGTTTGAAGTCATCTGAAATATATTAACCAAATTCCCTTCCAGAAAGGTTGAGGCAGTTTGCCCTCTACCACCATGTAAAATAGTGCCTATTAATCTTATGCTGGTAGGAATTAAATGAAAGCTTAAACACATTTTCCAATTTATATTTTAATTCTACAGATTTAGAACTGTCATCAGATAAATATCAAATTAGCTAAATTAATAAATACAATTGTATTAAATTTTATAATAATCTACAAATTAAAATAGTTAGAAAAATGATATGGCTTTGTAGTTATCTGACATAGTTCAGAGAGAATAACTGGTACAACATTGACAGCTATATTGCAGGTATCTAAGGAACAGCAAATGTTTACAAGGAAAACCTTCTTCTACCGTGCTCTTTGGTAGTGTATTACTGCATGAACTATGAAGTTGTACAGTTTTGTGCATTATGTACTGGAAGTACAAATTGTCATTGTCTTCAGAAGCTTATTTTCTGGTTATGTTTTCATTAGTTAGGCATATAAAATAGAGTATGGGAATGTGTAAACTGTTGTTCTATCTAGCATAAGAAATGGATTGAGATTCCTGTTAATATTTGGATCTTAGATACTAATATTACTTGACAGAATATCAATTCTTTTGAATTCTGTTTGCCAGCAAATTACCAGTTTTAAGAAGCTTGGAGTGTTTAATTGACAAGTATGCCAGGTACTTAAGATCACAAGAAAGCTTTCAATTTTTATGTGGCTTAGAGTTTCATTGCTAAATGTGGTTGGCTTTCTATGGTATTTGCTTAACAATGTATATGAGTGGCTGTGTCTGTTTGCATAGGGGTGTGTGTGTAAGAGAGAGATGAGAGAAAGAAAGGAAAATGATACACCTGTCTCTACATTGTAGAGATAATTTATGTGAGGATGGCTTGCAAACTTTAAAATGTTGCATAAATATACAGTTTTATTATTTGTCCATAGACAACTTAGACCTATATTATATCTCAAAGTCTACCCATCTTGAAAAAGAAAATATTTTCATACTAAAGTTATGCCATAGATATAAAAAGATGATTATGCTGTTAATTTTATATCTGTGCTCTTAAGAAAATAAGTTTTATATTTTGTTTGCAAAGAACACTAGAATTCTTGCAGAAGGCTGTATCAGGTGGATATAACCTATGATTGAACGAGGTTAATTCTGTATGGAAACAACCAGCATTTAATTACCTGGAAATCAGCATAAACATGGTGTTCATTTTATTTCATTTATTTGTGTGTATTTAGTAGGCAAGGATTCCTCTTTGAACCAAAGAACCCCTTCTATTCTGGGGTGATGAGTAGCCTTTGTTTCCACATAAACACTTTTATTTAGTGACTAGATAGTGTCCCTGTTAGGAACCAACCCTGAACTATCGAATGTGATCTTACCTCAAAGACTTGTCCTAGAATTGTCTAGAAGATGTCTAAACAAGCCCCACAATTCCAAATGAATCTTTCTGTGAGAGAAACCTTCCAGCCAGCATATGAATTAGATTATTTTTGAGGCTAGGCACTTGTCTTTAGTTCAGAAGAAAAAAGAGGATCAAATACAGACATTTCTCTCACAGGCTTTATCTTCATATTTCTATGATTTTGTGGAAACGAGTGAAAAAAAGTTGGGAGGACACTAGGTAAACTCAGTAGTTTACAACCTGTTAAAATTCAGGGTGTGAGTTATGTGTGTCCTGGGCATTTCCACATGCTCAGTGGATGTGACCTTCTGCAATGTTTTATTTGACTGCACTGCACAATTTCATGGTGATATCTCAGCTTCAGGAAGGAAAAACAGATCAAGCTTGACATTTTCCATTCACACAGCTGAACTAGTTAATCATAGAGTGGAGGGCACTGAAGGGTAAGCTAATCAGAAAGGCCCAGGAAACAGTGCTCGGCAACATCCATTAGGTTAGTTCAGATTGCATTGATCAGTGACATCAAAGACCCAGATTTCCTGTGACCCATTTGCACAAGGATGTCCACTTTGAAAGAGGGCAGGTAGCAAAAAGAAGGTGACTTGGAGAGCAGACATATCACCCAAAGAAGCTTTTAAAAGTGGGAAAATAGTTACCTCTCCGTGAGGCTTCAAAACTATCAAAAAGGTTAATTCTCTGGATGTCATAGGTTAATGTGGTGTTAGGCATCAGGGTTCGGTTTCTGTTAATGCTGGTGACTGCAAACTTGAAAGCTAATTCTTCAACATTAACAGGCTCATTTTCCACTGTTTCAAAAATCCCTCCTGCAGAAGCAAAAGAGATGCATGAGAAGCATTAGTAACATGGTTCACATGTAAATTTTTTCTTTTTTCTTTTTTTGAGACAGAGTCTAGCTCTGTCACCCAGGCTGGAGTGCAATGGTGTGATCTCAGCTCACTGCAACCTCCACCTCCAGGTTAAAGTAATTCTCCTACCTCAGCCTCCTGAGTAGCTGAGATTACAGATATGCACTATCATGCTCAGCTAATTTTTGTATTATTAGTTGAGATGGGGTTTCACCATGGTGGCCAGGCTGGTCTCAAACTCCTGACCTCAGGTGATCCATCCTCCTCGGCCTCCCAAAGTGCTGGGATTACAAGTGTGAGTCACCACGCCCAGCCAGTAGAAAGAAGAATGTAAATATACAAACAAAAGACCCCAAATGATAAATGGAGGAATAGTCAGAGCAGATCCTAAATCCACGACTAAAAAAGTTAAGTTTCTCAGCATGCACCACACGCAGATAAATAGGACTAACTGCATATGTATGCTTAAAATTTTAAATCCAATGTTGGACTGTATTCCAAATATTTAGTGGCATAAAAACTTATAATATGGTAGAGAGCGATTTTCTGTGGTGTGGATAAGAATTGCACTGTGCTTGACCTAAACATAATTTGAAGTGGATCCTAGTAGGACCGTTCTTCTAGAATGAAGATCTTTCTATTCAGAAGCTGCCATTCCAGACTCTAAGGGTATCATGTGGAGTTGATGGGATCAAAATGACATATTCATATTCTTAGATTTTTCAGAATAAAAATATTCTTTTTTTGTGCTTCATGGCTCAGAATTCTGAGATCATATTCTAGTACTTTCCGAAGTGCACGAGAAAATTCAAAGAACTGTATTTTATTTTCTTTCTTTTCTTTTTCTCTTTTGAAATTGTTTAGTCTAAGGCAAACCTGCTTCTGATAACTGGAGAAATATGTTTCTTCATGGAGCAAGTGCACATGAGCTAGGCAGGCTCTCATAGCTTAAATGTGAGGATCTCGCTGCAAGTAACAATACAAAATATTAGTGCTTAAAGCCTCATCAGAGAATTTAGCTCTGATTTTGCTTGAGACATTGGTCTTTGATAGCAACAATGTAAGTGTTGTTAACTGAACATTCGTAAATGTTTTTGTTTTTTGTTTTTGTTTTTCCCCGAGACGGAGTTTCGCTCTTGTTACCCAGGCTGGAGTGCAATGGCGCGATCTCGGCTCACCGCAACCTCCGCCTCCTGGGTTCAGGCAATTCTCCTGCCTCAGCCTCCTGAATAGCTGGGATTACAGGCACGTGCCACCATGCCCAGCTAATTTTTTGTATTTTTAGTAGAGACGGGGTTTCACCATGTTGACCAGGATGGTCTCGATCTCTCGACCTTGTGATCCACCCGTCTCGGCCTCCCTCTTAAATGTTTTTTAAGGGACGTCCTAGGATTATTAATAGACACAGGGCATACAGTAGAAACTTCCTTAATTGGTCTCCATTTAAGTTACTCCTGGATTGACCAATACTCCTCATTCCTTTTGAAAATACATGTTAACTGATGCTCATGGAATGCAGAATACCTGTAACTAGCAGGCTGCTATTTTTTTAAATCTACTCTCATAATTGAGTGACCCCTTTCCAAAAGCCAATAGTAGGTTTTTTGCCAACTTGCCTATGACAGATTGATTTACAAGTGCTCTAGGTTCTCTCTTCACTCAAAGGGGCAAAAAGAATATAAAAAAATCTGAAATGAAAATCACAAATACGCATCATGAGCATCATTTGTGTGCATTCTTTGTTAAAAAGGAAACTCCAATAGACGGACTCTAATTCTAATAAATGACCCTGATCCTGCTTTGAAAGAAAGCAATAAACACACATCTATAATGTTCCTGCTGAACTGACTTTATTAAATAACTAATTACAGTGTTGGGTTGTGAAAGTTAAGATGGTTTATAGTGAATTATTGTGGCTCCTTTTGGAAATATTTCTGGCTTTTATAGACTGATAATATGAGGCATTCATGTATAGATAATTTCTTCATCTTCTGAGAAATCATATTTGGAAACCATATGACAGTACTCCTATGCACCCAAAAAAATTTTAAAAAAATTTTTAATTTTTTTGAAAAATTAAAGGAAAATTACAGGACAGAGTTATTTAATAATATTAACCTTTACCTAAGGAGCCATATAAGACCTTTATTCTGAAATGAACATAAGGAAAAATGTTTCCATTCAAGTCAATTTGTGTTTTACTTTTGTCAGACAATCGTAGGGACAGTCTTTGGAGTCAATTTTCAGTTTCTCTCAGAACTGTTGGTGGATGCTCAACAATGAGGTGACAAGATGACACAAAAGAAACTTGGTCACCAGCAGACGGATGTGAGGCGGTCTTACTGCCACCATCAAGGTGACCCACACAGAGGGCTGCTTGGTGATAGGGCTTCTTTGGTAACTATTAGCAATTACTTGTTTACTCGTCTATCTCCCCAACCCCAGAGGGAGAGCCCTCATGTAGAGAGACTGTGTCTTACTCAGAATCAGCATCCTCGGGGAGACCAAGGCATCTTTAGGACATTCAGACTACAACTATTTAAGGGAAAAGTCAATTACTGGTGTGGGTGTGAGCACCATTCATCTGTATAGGGTAGGCTGGTTGGAGACAAAAAATACCTGAATAGGAAACAGAAGTTCTGAATTTTGAAACCTGATCTACCTACTACCTCTTTGAGAAGGATTTTTAAGAATAAGAAAGAAAATTACTATGAAATAGCCCCTTTACATATGTTTCATTACACTCTATAACATTCAAGGTAGGAGATACTTTTTTCCATTTTTATAGATTAAAAAAGTGAACACGAAGATTACACATTATATCCTGCTTATTCCAAATCACAGTCTTGTCTGGAACAGATTCAGATTCTGAATCTCCACATAATGTAAATGTTTTAATTTCATCAAATTATTTCTGTTCTTTGTTTCATACGTGTGGGCTAATAATGTTGTCTTGCTTCCCTTGGACAATTGCTCTATAAAGCAAATGATACAAGGTAGTCAAAATGTCCTGAAAAGTCAAATATTCCCTAGAAATAAGTTTTTTATTATTGCACATGGATAATGGAAATTAAAAAAAGGAGTTGGCACCAGCTTGTGAAATTCCTACTCACCTCAAAATTGTTCCTTTGTGATATAGTTGTCTATCGCATAAAGCTGAATGAACCTGGGTTTAAGAGAATTACACGTGTTTTCATTATGTGCTTGAGTAGTGTGCAGGTGAATTCTGTTTTGTCGCTTTCAGAGCAATTTCTTTTCATTTTTTTCACCAAACAGGCATTATGAATAGTGTCATCAGCTCAACAACCCATCACACTTTCTCCAAGAGAGGGTTGCTGATAAATGCCAAAAATCTACTGTGGTATAAGGTATATAGAAAGCTGGAGAAGCACCAAGAAAGTGAGATCTGACAGAAACAGGAGAAGTTATTAATAGGAGCCAGACCATTACCTCATATATGGGCAGACTGTTTGAGGATCAGCCACTTCCTCCCTCCTTCTCCTACCTATAGCTTCAAATACAACAAAATGGAATGTAGAGTCTTTGATAAGAAGAATAAAGGGGCACATAAGTAGGGGCTCTTGCATAATTTCCTCCACCTGTCTTTCCTTCTCTCCTTCTTTCCTTTCCTCCTCCTTCTCCTTCCTCCCTCCCTCTTTCCTTCCCTCCCTCTTTCTTTTCTTACTTTCTTTTTCTCCTTCCTTCCTTCCCCTTTTCTCTTTCTTTTCTTTCTTTCTCCTTCCTTCCTTTTCTTTCTTTCCCTTTCTTTCTTTCTTTCTTTCTTTCTTTCTTTCTTTCTTTCTTTCTTTCTTTCTTTCTTTCTCTCTCTCTCTCTTTCTTCTCTCTCTATTTCTACCTCCTCCATCCATTCATCTTTTCCTTCCTTCATCCCTTTTACTTCTTTTATGTAATAATTGTGAGTGTGACCTGCCAATGAGACTTCTGAAGGCTTTAGGGGTCTTCATGTTGTGAACTTCTGGCCTCAGTCATTTGGGGGCCCATTGGTTTGAGATGAGAAATTCCTACCTTGTTCATCCCTCTGTGCCTCTTCCTCTCTCTCTCTCTCATTTGAGCCGAGCTGACTTCTGCTTCTAAAAATACAGTGGCATGGAAGGGTCAAGAAATTAAAAAACAAAACTAGCTTGGGCTCAAGGAAGAGAGGCAAAACTGCCCCCTTCTCCTTATATTTTTGAAATTTCTCAAGCCAGGGCAGTGGGTGAAGGGAGAAAGCAGGGCTCTGAGAGCTCAGGAGAAAGAACAAGCTTTTTCATTCTGCTGTGATTCTTGAGAAAGTAGAGCATGGCAGATGGAACACAGGAGGGTGAGAAACCTCAAAATCGCAGGCCTGGGTTTTCCATGTTCTCTGTCATTGCTCGTGTGTACCTGAAGCTTGAGAAGTATTGTTAAGCTACTTTTCGTCCTTTCTATGTTGTGGATCAGTTTAAGTGAGTACAGATCACGTGCCAGTCTTTAGAGACAGGAAGTGGTTGGGCAGTAATCCTCTGTCTGATCATCACTAGGAAGCTTGAACAAGGGTCAAGGGGCATGCTTCTTATCTGCCTCACCAGCCTCTTTCCCACCTCACCCACCATTGTCCAAGCAAAGGGTCGGAAAGTGAAATAATTGGGCTTTTCTCTGAGTCATGAGTCTGTCTTTCGAGGTGAATATTTGTGCCATTTAAAATGATAAGGGTAAGGCCAGGCGCGGTGGCTCACGCCTGTAATCCCAGCACTTTGGGAGGCAGAGGCAGGTGGATTATGAGGTCAAGAGATCGAGACCATCCTGGTCAACATGGTGAAACCCCATCTCTACTAAAAATACAAAAAATCAGCTGGGCATGGTGGCATAATCCCAGCTATTCAGGAGGCTGAGGCAGGAGAATTGCCAGAACCCAGGAGGCGGAGGTTGCGGTGAGCGGAGATCGTGCCATTGCACTCCAGCCTGGGTAATAAGAGAGA